GCAAAAAGAAAAAGGCACGTTCCCTGGAGCCTATGTATTTCCACCAGATAAGGGTTTAGAAAATGAACGGCCTGTCACGGGTTTGGATTTCGTATCTTTATACTCAAGTATTATAATAAACTATAACCTCTCACCTGAGAAAATGACTCTATCGCCCAAAGAAGCAGATAATTTAAAAGAAGCAGACGAGACCCTCTATAAAATCGAGTTCCCTTTCAATGGCCGAATTTTACATGCATGGTCTATAAGACATAAAAATAAAAATAATAAAATAGGGTTATATTCATCAGTTTTAAAAGAGCTCCTTAATAAACAAAATAAAATGAAGGCTCAATTGGGAATATTTAGCAATATAAAAAAGTATATGGAATTAGTAAATAGTAAAATAAAAAAGGAGAATTTGGCAGTGGCTGATACTATTAATCATACTCTGAAAAATGTGGAAGATAAAGAAAAACATGTCAATATGAATGAAATCTTGATTTCTCTTATTAATAAAACCTATGAGAATTTCATTAAAGAATATGATTCCATCTGTTTTGATCACACTTGCTTGGATTCGAAACAAAAAGCAGTAAAAATTTATATGAATATCTTTTATGGAAACAGTTTATCCCCATTCTTCTTTTTAGAATTAGCTGGTGGTATCATATCGGCAGGACAATATAATATTAAACTTGTTGCTGAGTATGTGACTAAGAAGAAAGATTTTGGAATCAAATATGGGGACACTAATTCTTTATATCTTACCTGTCTCATTAAATATTATAAAGAATGTGATCTTGCTTATAATGATGGTAAAAGCACAATTTCGAAATTGGGATATTGGACTGAAACGGTTAAAATAACTATGAAAGTAATGGAGAAATTGCACAATGAAGTGAATATGTATCTTAAAATAAAAAGTAGATCAACTTATCTCAAAATGGCTTATGAAGAAGTTCTATTTCCAGTAGTATTTACAGGTAAGAAAAAATATTTCGGAATTGAGCATAAAGATAAGCCAAATTTTGGATCAACAAAAAAACTTTTTATTAGAGGTATCGATACAGTGAAGCAAGGTAAGTCCCAACTTTTCAAAACTATAGAAAATCGAATTATGTGAGGTGCAATAGATATTAACAATAATCAAACACTCCATGAGATTGTTGAAGAGGTTCTTAAAGAGGCTATAACCAATCCCAATCAATGGGATTTTGATCAATTTATAGAAACTGATGCATGGAAACCTAATATAGATAACAAACGTGTCTAGCGATTTATAGGACAGATGAAAGAAAAATATAAAAACAAGATTCCTGATCCAGGAGAACACTTTAGTTATGTAATAGTTTATCTCGATAAAGTTTTTGATTTATCTGGTTTTAAACTCACTATAAGAAAGGCTGATCAAATGGAATTCGCAGATATTGCAAAAGATTTAAATAGAAAATTGAATCTATCTCATTACTTTGAAAATACTATTAATGGACTTTGTACCCGATTTATTATGTATGATAAAAAATATAAACCACTATCTACTGACAAAATCATGAAGATTACTGATTCAGATGAGAAATATAAACAGATTGATACATATACTCAAAACAAGGCCAAGAAGTGGCTTAAGTCATATATCAAAGAGATAAATGTGATAGATGGAATTGCTTCCAAAATAATATCTAATCGTGGATATGCTTACAAATACACTTACAAGAATGCAATCAAAACCACGCAATCTATATTATATCAGAAGGTAGGTAATACCTACGAGATATTTCATGGGGAATAGCTTAGTTTTGAGGATTTTAAGGCAACCAATAATATCGAGAGATTATGGAAAAAGTTCATAGAGTATGCCAGAGCATATACTGAAAATGATAATCTCTTGATAAGTGAATAGATAAAAAAATCAATATGCTCTGATTTTATGAAACATCTAAATGTACTTATCCCAATTATTGAGAAATATGATATTTTCTTTTATAAGTTAGTATATCATATGTGATATAAAGAGCATATAACAATCACAGATAAAATTGGCCAACCCGAGACTATGAGAAAAAATAAGATGATTACTGAACAACTTACCTTAGCTCATATATCGAAAACAGATCAACTAGTACTTGAGAGTTTTCTAAATACATGGAACAAGGCAGTCAGCTCACTATAAATATATCTTTATATTTCCATCATATATATTTTTTTGTACATAAATAAAACTCAAGTTTAAATAGATAGTTTCTAATACCTAGTCCACATATCCTATAACCGATAGCAGTGATATTAAAGTGCTTGCCACAGCAGGAAGAGGAAAAGCCTCGAGACTAGGTCTCATCTGGGCATTCGATTTAATCAAAGAGGACATATGCAGTTTAGTACTAATTTCACTAATGCTAGTTTTATTACTTACCTTGGAGTTGGCCTCGGTATTATTTTTTGATAGTTTGGTAATCTCATCATTAGTATATGTCAATATATTACTATCAGTTTTTTCGGTTTGATCCATATTTTTTCCACATATAAAATATTTACTAAGATCAATACTAGCCAAAGATATATTATCAGACTTAGTAATATGACTTCGATCATATTATAAAAATACAAGATTATAACGAGATTGATACCAAAGCTTTTACGTATGCCAAAAGACATGAAGGGGAATGCTTGGCTAAAGCTAGATTCAATGCAGATATTTATTTGTAGTTATGCAAAAATCAACATCAATGGGAAGCATCCTATAAAGATATGAAGCAGAATTATGGATAGTGTAATAGTTGTCTCCATATATTTGAGTGAAGATGTCGATATATATTCGAAGAATTATTATATAAGAAATTTCCACCTCGAAAACCCAAATTTTTAAAAGGTTTA